GGGCAAACTCCAATTGTGAGTGTGTATGGATTATGGTATAGTTGTGAGAGAGTAAAAATTACTTGAATTTCAAGTTAGGGTCCGTTTGATTGCAAAGATGAAATTGAATTGAATTGAAAACGAATTCTAGGGAATTGAATTGTCTAGAAATTATTTTCCTATGAATTGTAAATTATTGTGTTTAATTGGTATAATTTTTCACGTAGAAAATATTAAAATAAAAGTATTTTTTGGTGTTCGTTTGACTTTGTTTTACATGAAAATTGTCAATTAAAGTAATAGATTTTACTGGTATTGGGAATTAAATTTGTTTTCATTACCAACAAAAAAATAAAAAATAAAAAAATCAAGAAAATCATCTATCTTTTAGTGTTCGTTTGACTTTGTTTTATATGAAAATTGCCAATTAAAATAAAATATTTTTGTACAATATTTTTTAGAATTTGTTTTCATTACCCAAAAAAAAAAAAAAAAAAAAAAAAACACCGTAACAGGGAACTAGAAAACCAATTCCCACCAATATGGTGGGAATTGGTTTTCAAGGAAAATCAAGAAAATTTTAATGGAATTCAAAACCTATCAAACAAAAAAATTTGAAAAACTTGAAATTAGAATTCCATTTTCCATGGAATTTGAACCAATCAAACATAGCCTTAGTAATTATATATCGAGAGTCGAAGAGAATTTTGGTATAAATTGTCTTTACAATGCTCTTGTATCTACACGAAGGTCCCGAGGCATCCTTATTCCCTCATGTTTTGCAAGCTTACAATTATTATATGGACTATATACCTAACTCATGAAAATCCCACTAGAACACTTGAATAGAATTCACCTTGTAACAGTTTCTTCATAATACATAACCACAAAAAATTTAAAAAAAATTTAAAAAAATTAGTAAAGAAATGCAACTAAATAAAGGCTAATTACGATAATACACACACATACACACCAAAAAAATTCATGTCATATTGTAGTCTAGTAAGAGAAGAAAAACTCTCATGTCACAAAATTAAAAATAAAATTATAAAAATGGGGAATTTTCATAAATGTCACTAAATTTGAAAATGCGTAAAAAATTTCATTTGCACTAAATTTGGTAAAAAAATGTCACTTTTTGGGTGTGATATGTCCATATTACCCTTAATGACACTTTTTAGAAGCATTTAATGTTTGATTTGAAAGTCATTAATGTTATAATGTGATGATTTGTTTTGTATATTATAAATATTAGATATATGATTATTATATTGGATAATATGAATTTTGGTAAAAAAAAAAAAAAAAAAACACATAACTTCTTACCATTCACAAACCCTAATTTCTTATCCATCTTCTTTATATCATCATCAAGAAGACATTATTATTAGATTCATCATCTATTTTTCAGAGATTAGCTATTAGAAATTATTTATATTTTCATCTTATAGATTACTATTTTAAATGTTAAATAGAACATAGTCATATTTATTTGAAATTTTTAAAACTCTTATTCATTGATTTGTTTGATTCTTGATATATTTTTGAAAGAAAAAAAATATCAACATTATTTAAAAAATGTTAAGGATTCAATAATTAAATAACTATTGAGTTATTACTTATTTATTTTGGGAAGATGTTGTGATGTTGCTGTTAAGAATTGATTATCACCATTAATGTTTTGAATGATTTCTTCCAATGAACCAATTACATGTTTTCAAGCTTCCCGACAATTTCGACAGTTCAATTATCGAATTCAACATTTTGAAACCGTTATATTAAACATCTTAACTGTCGAACTCGACATTTAGAAACTGTCGGGATAAATAATTTTACTGTTGGGATTCAACCATTCATTTCATCTTTTATTTTTGAATGGATTTAAATATTAAAAAGTGTCAGTTTCATGCTATTAAATGTCGACATATTGATTGTGTAGAGATCTTACCGTTGCAATATCAACTTTTCAAATATTAGTAATCTTTTGAGATTTATTGTATTGTATAGGAGAAAGTTTGTTTATGTGGATGACGAATGGAAGTGAAAAATGGACAAAATCACTTTCCTTTTAGTTCCGACAAGTATTATCCTATGCACTTGTTATGGTAGAGTTGACCATAACTGGACAATGTGTTCCAACCCCATTATAACACAATTCATGTAAATATGTTTGATATTTAAAAGTAGTTGAAGTTGTATTTTGAATGTTTTCATGATAGCGTTGTACATTCTGAAATTATATTATCATTATCATTTTATTATTGTTTGCAGACTTTAGTCGAGTTTAAGTTCACAAGCAAAATAATCACATAGATAAAAATTGCATATCATCCGACAGAATGATTCTCGAAAGATGGTTTCAAAGTAAAAAATTTGACTACAAAAAAATGTATAAGGGACATGTTGTTCCCGAATACATTCTCAACTTACATTATTATTAGCATTTTATTATCATTTACAGACATTGCATAATATCCTGATAATTAAACTATCGGTCCTGACAGAAGGTTTCTGTCATTCTTGACAATTGGTTGTGAGTAGAAAATGTAACTATAAATAAGATGCATAAGGGATAAGCTATTGCAGAACATTTGGTAAAGACGTTAGTATATTATCCCTAACAAAACTATAATACATAATTCAATAATTTTTCTCGTGCTAATTGAACAATCCAACAAGTATGAGAAACGATAAATGATAAAATGTGTAATCACATGTGGATGCAACCACCAAATCATGTTTATAACCACATTCTTGGAAGGGAGCAAAATGAGGTCATTTAGTACAAAAATCAATTCTAATGTAATATTAACAAATTTCGTCACATTACTCTCTTTCTCCTCTCCTTAGTGTATGTAGTCCTAGTAGATGCTGCAAGAAATCGAATGTCTGTCGATCATTACCTTTTTGTATTAATAAGATCGTTATTTTCGATGGGTATGGTGGCCGCATCCGTCACGCTACAAGTTGAGGAAACTTTCTCGTTGTCCGGGCATGACAGTTCAAGCTCTATGGCTCCTCCATCTATTTGAAAACAACATTTGCAACAATAATCGACACGAGTTAATTATTTATAGTTTGCAAATTACGAAATAAGATAAGAGTATTTAAAATTTTGAATTCTTCATAATTAACGTACATACCGTTCACCTCATGATTCCTACTAAGCAATGGAACCATATGATTATCCGAGCATGGTTAATACCTTCTCCATCTAATTGAAAACAACAATTACAATACTAATGAACATGAATTCAATATTTATAGTTTGCATATTACGGAATCAGATGAATGTATTTAAAGTTTTGAATTCTTCAGAAGTCAATGCTAAATACACGTATAAGAAATCAAAAAAATAAATAAATTATAATGTTCTGTCGAGAATGACAATTCATATCGAAAGATGACTCATCTGTCGAGAATAACTGAAAACGAACTGTTGGGAACGATAATTTATCGCGACAGATGGATCACATGACTGATCTTTCGAGAAGTTCTCGTGTGTCAATAATTCATTACTATACAGACTTTAACTGTGACAAATTAAACAGTTCGCTTAAAAGATTTGATACATGTGCGTAACCTAAAAAAATATAATAAATAAGATATATTGGAATGGCAAGTATAATATAATAATCAGCTTCTACAAACCAAATAAATTCAGGGAAATATGAAGTAAAAAATTAACAGAACGTGAAATATTTATTTAGAAAAATATAAAAAAAAATCATATATAACACCCAAAACAATTTAGAAAAAAATTAAAATGTCCAAAAAAAATATATAAACCCCAAAAAAATAGAGAAATCCAAATTACCTGTAAATGAACTCTCCAAACAAAGTTGAACCCAAAATATAGAACAATCTAACTCACAGTCTAGATTTAGGGAACTCAAAATTGATGGTGCAATCTAAAATAAAGAAAAAAAGGAACATTAGTAAAAAAACTTGAAACAAAACATTCAATCGATCGAAAAAAACACATATATTTGAAACATTACCTAAGATATTCTTCTTCCTTCTGTATGGACGTAATAAATGAGATCCCAACGTAAGAATTTGCACTCCATATAATTTTTAAAGAATCAAGAGAGGAACCATAGAAAAGAAAAAAATAGAAAGAAGAAATTTTGCAAAGAAACGTACTAGAGAGAGAAAAATGAATGAGTTAATTTTAAAATTTTTTGCTCTTATATAGGGCCCGTTTGGTAGGAATTTTGAGAATTGATTTTTTGACTGTTAGAAGAAAAGTGGGGTCTACATGTGAGAAAAGAAGTCAAAAATTACGGCTTGAATAGTAAAATAACGGTCAAAAAATTAATTTTTTGGGGCAAAAAATCCCTACAAAACGGGGCCATATATATATACATATATATACATATATATATATACATATATATACATATATATATATTGTAAGGACTTTGAAGTACAATTATGAGGTGATTGATTGTCACATTTTTTCCAACTTTTTTATGTTATCAACTCAATGTTGTGTAGGATCTTTGAATTTTGAAGAGGGGTAATAATGTCCAAAATTGATATTTTTGTAAAGACTTTAAAAAAAGTAACATTTTTGTAAATGCAAAGTCAAAAGTTGACTACTTTGATAATTTCCTCTATAAAAATTAAATAAAGTGATTTATCATATATGTCTATTTTGTTTTTCATTCAGTCTTATCCCCTAACCATGTTGACTTGTACACCCATTCCTCCACACCACACGTGAGGGCTAAAATTGTCAAAAAAGGTTAGGGAACTGCGATTTACCTCCCTCACGATACTTCAAGATAGGAGTAGTGAGGGACCCTTAAAGTTAGAGTTTAACCTTTAAAATCGTCACAAAAGGTTTCCACCTATATAAATTATCCTTTGCCAGCCCACTCTTCAGCCTGCATGACAGTGAAGAGTGGACACTTCACATGCAAAACTGAGTTGTAGAGAGAGAAAGAGAAGTACTGAGTTCGAGAGAGAGAGAGAGAGAGAGAGAGAGAGAGAGAGAGAGAGAGAGAGAGAGAGAAAAAGACCCGCCGTCGGACCGGGCAGCTCTACTGGCCTTCAAGGCTGACCTGTATGAGCCTCACTTGGGCATTTTCAACTCGTGGACGGGCTATGATTGTTGTCACAACTGGTATGGAGTGAGTTGCGACCCGGAGACTCACCAAGTAGCTGACATCAACCTCCGGGGGGAATCGGAGGACCCCATCTTCGAAAAAGCCCACCGGACCGGTTATATGACCGGGACAATTTCACCGGAGATTTGTAAACTCACTAGACTTTCAAGCCTAACAATTGCAGATTGGAAGGGCATTTCGGGAACAATCCCAGCATGTATTGTTTCATTGCCATTCCTCCGAATCCTCGACTTGATCGGAAACCGGCTCACTGGAGAAATCCCGGCTGATATCGGCAGACTAAGTCGACTCACCGTGTTGAACGTCGCCGACAATCAACTCTCCGGAACCATTCCGAGGTCACTCACCAACCTGTCTTCTCTAATGCATCTCGATCTTCGATCCAACAAAATTTCAGGTACACCACGTAACCATTTCATCAAAAAGTTTAATCACGATCTCATCTATGGTCAGGATCATTTTTTCGATGTGAAAAAATTACAATCTTTAATACATGAGTAGGAGCCGATTAGAGGCCGATCTTGATCTTGTGTTCGGTTAATAGTTAATACTATGTTATCGACAATCTCATTTAAAAAAAGCTTGCATGTATTGTACACGCTTTCTCCCATGTAGACGAGTTCAATTTTTTCAGTAACACCCAACACGAGCACAAATTTTAATATAGAAGTGACGAAGTTCAAATTTTATCTTGAACAGGAACAATCCCAGGAAATTTTGGCAAATTAAGAATGCTGAGTCGGGCTTTACTCAGCAACAACAGATTAAATGGGCCAATCCCATACTCGATATCCTACATATATCGTCTTTCAGATTTAGATCTTTCTTTGAATCGACTTTCTGGGAAGATACCTGATTCATTAGGCAAAATGGCAGTTCTTGCAACACTAAATCTCGATGGGAATCAAATTTCTGGTACAATTCCTCCTACGTTGATTAATTCCGCCATCAGCATATTGAATTTGAGCAGAAACGGGCTTGAGGGTTATATTCCGGACAATTTCGGGTCAACATCGTATTTTATGTTGATGGATTTATCGTACAATAATCTTAAGGGAAGGATTCCTAAGTCAATTTCTTCTGCAAATTATATTGGCCATCTTGATGTTAGCCATAATCATCTCTGCGGGCCAATCCCAGCAGGCTCTCCTTTTGATCATCTTGAAGCGTCGTCGTTTACTTACAACGATTGTCTATGTGGGAAGCCGCTTAAACCTTGTTAGATTTAGATGCACACGCTTGGCTAAGCTTAAAAGTTTACTCATACGTAAATGAGTAAGTTACTTTTTAACTTACTAGTAAAAGAAGTAAAATTAAGTTACTTTTAAGTTTAGCCAGATTTGCGGTCTATCTCTAAGATTATGAATATATCGCGTTGTTGCTTTTCGAGCCTTTAAAATGTGATTTTCTTTATGGCTTGAGGATCTTGGATTTATTAAATTTATTACAATATGTATACTTGGCTTGATGAATAAATTTATATTTTGTGAAAATTATTGTTGTTTTTGAGTTTGGGTCAACGTGTTTTTGTTGGTCAACCTTAAGTCAATTCATCAAATGAGTTGATTGTGGTCTGGTTTTTTCCCCCATGGACTCATAATTGATGGATTTACTTTTATGATGTGTTTTTCAAAGATATAGATCTCGAGCCAATGTTATAGCAAAATAACATGCATCAACGGTATTAAGTAAAAACAAGTCTTAGATCCCGTTTGGAAGCGATTTTGAAAATTAATTTTTTGACCATTAGAAGAAAAGTGAAGGTCACCTGTGAGAGAAGAAGTCAAATTTTACAGTTGAAATAGTGAAATAATGGTAAAAAAATCAATTTTTTGAGAAGAAAAATCACTCCCAAACACTCCCTTAGACAAAAGGAGTCGAGTGTAAAATCCATGCAAAAATAGTGCGTCACTAAAGATGTGTTTACATGATTACAAAATGATGGTAGTTTAATTTGAGCATCACGTGTCACCATCAAAGAATTGATACAAGATCATGTCCATCTTGTGCATTGATTAAATCAAAAACAATTAATTCCATCCATGGTCTTCTTGTCATTATTTTTGCACCTCTAAACTATATATAATATGTGACAAATGATTTTTGGCAGTTGTCAATCAAGAATCAGCTAAGCGATCACACCACATCACACGTGATTCCATTTGTGGTACTTCCTATTAATTAGCTTTTGGAAGGAGACCCAAGTCATTGTCACACATCAATTTCGCGTTATCGAAACTGAATTTAAAATTGTTCAGGATAACTCATTATCCTAAACTCTTCTTTTCACACGATATTAGCATTCGATGGTTAGGTGGAGATGCCGGTTGATGTCGAGATGTTGTCAACAGAACTCGAGTGGGAGAGGGAGGGAGTTTTGAGAACGAGCAAGCTAGGATTTCTTTTTGGGCCCTCATATAATCCAAAAATGTGCACTGTAGAATAAATAGCATGTCAAGTAAACCTAAAGCCCCTCTTTTAAGAGAAGGGTAGATATACTAGTTTATCATTTAGGATACAATATTAATCGTTCCTGCCTCATTTATAGGGGGAAAGAGGGCAATCTTGGCATCCTTAAGTCCTACACATGTATAATTTCATAGATAAGCAACCATGATTTTTGACTAATGTTTATAAACAATCAAATCACTTTTATTCACACATTTCGTGCACCTCCACGTACTATTCACTTACATATAACTAATTTCGATCTGTTTATAAATTAAACCTATTATAAACATTTTCCAACAATATATTTTCGATGGCTCTAATTATTTTGAACTATTTCATCTTAAAGTGGGTAAACTAATCGAGAGTGGCCATACTAATTTATATTTAGTTGGGACAAGCATCCGAACCCGATTCATATCGAACATTGACAGTCCTATCAGACTCTCATAACTTTGTCTTGATAGGGACCCACAATGCTTGAAGCGAAGCATCAGTCCAAATCAATAATGATCCACACTTGTTCTCTTTTGACATGGAAAGCATACAGTACAATCTATTAAAGCAGGGCATTGGTCTCTCATCTAAAGCAAAGATGTGCCAAATGGAAATAGGAAAGTCAGAAAAAATAAGAGAACACAAAAGGACTTTACCCCACAAGAGCAAACCAATCTCTGATCAATAATGCAAACTTTTTTCTCAAGTCTCCAAGTGGGTAATATGTATTATGCACAACATAATTATTTTAGCGGTAGATACGAAAAAGGAATTCACCTAGTCGACCCTAAATTCATTGAACACGAAGCGAGGTTCCAACCTTAAATGACCTTGAACCAATGAAGACTCACCAGCATAAGTCTTAGTCCATGCCAGCGTGTTGCAGCAAGTGACCTAAGTGATAATAGTATCGATTTCCATTCATTGGGCAACCAGATGGTATACTGTTGGCTCCCTCATTTCAACTTGCAGAAGAAGTGAACATGCATAAGCGTCGACACAACACAAAATAGCTTAACATCTAAGTGATGAGGACGGCGTCTATTTTTTTTTTTTTTCTATTTATTTTTAGTTGGACTTTATTTTAGTTTTGGATTCTTATTTATGTAATTGGACTTGTATTGACCCAAATCCGTTCTAGTTAGGGTTTTCTGTTTAGTATTTAAACCTAATTTCCTATGTAACTTTATTAGTTTTAATGAATATGAATTATTGAGATTGGTTGTGGCGTCTTCCTCCTCTCCCTTGCCCTTTCCCCCTAAATTTCTGCTTCTTCTCCGATTTCTTCCTCCCTTCTCTCTGGTTCTCCCTCCCTTTCTTACTATCCTCTTTTTTGTCTTGCATCAAATTTGGTATCAGAGCCTAAATTTAGGTAATCTCTCATCTCCAATCCAAAAATTTCTTTCCACTTCCTTCCCAAAAATTTGTCGGAACAACACAAATAAAAAAAATTAGCGTACGAGCAGCAATTCTCATTTTTTTAGTTTTCTTCATAGTTGCCAAAAAAAAGAGAAAAAAACGTGTTACTATTCATCGTACTGTTCATAGCCGAATATTCAGTTTTAGTATCTTAGTCAGTTCCTTAAAAAAAATTACTGTTCACATTCGGAAATTTCAGTTTAGTTTTTTTTTTTTTTTTTCTTTTTCTACAATTTCAGTTTTAAAAAAAAAAATCTCTTTTGCTGCTGTTTCTTTTATACAATTATAGTGTTGTTCCACAAATTCCAATCCTAACATTTAATCCCACTTACACACGGCTCAATTCCGTTTAGGCCAATTAACCTAGGCTACTCTCTACGACACAGGCCCACTCCCCAAACATTAACCCCAGCTGGCCCATGTCTATAGCACGATTCAAACCCCTTCCCATCTAGCCCAATCCCAAATATCCGACCAAGCCCGATTATAAGCATCAAATACCTCACAGTTTCACCCGATTCCTCTCTCACAACCTCTCTTGCCGCTGTCGCCTCTAATTACCACCACACCACCACTTCATTATCTATTGTACCCAGGCATCCAACGCACTATCGCTTCACCGCCACATGCCACCACCACCAACCCAAGATCATACACTTCCACCACAGTTATCGCACTCATATATTTCCCGTCCATCTCAACAATTTAAAAGCCACAGTCACCACACTCAGTTTTACATTCATACCACCAACACTGCCTATCACCAGGTGCTGCTCATATCGTCACCTGCTGTTGCCGCCATCACCACCAGTAGAACTGGGTCCAACAGTAGTCACTCACATCACCAATATCAATAGCTACAAAATAAGCTCACTACCACATCTGGTCTTCTCGCCCCAGACGCATCTACTATCGCAACAGAGACAATCACCACAAACATAAATACCTTACTGATTTACAAGTTGCAATTGGAGTAGTTTCAGAAATTGAAGACACTTGACACGGAGCATATGACACAAACTGGATTGAAACCCACACATCAACAACTCAGATCAATCGAACTCAGGGAGTTACCGTTCTTATTTATTATTGGTTTATACTATTCATTTTAGAATTGTATTGTTTAATTTCTTTGTGTTGCAATTAACCGGATAATTTTAGCCTTAAATCCCACTTGAACGAAACCATTGATCGAATTGACACAAGTGACCGAATTGACTTCCATTGTTTCCCACTTAAATTGATTGGAGAATTTGACTAGTGTGTTGACCCTTGCTTTGCTATTTTACTTGTACCAGCAGTATTAGCTTGCTTTGGATTTATTTAATCCCAATATTTAAAATTAAATAAAAAAATAAAAAATGGTTCAAGTTATTTTTCATTGCTTGCACTTATTGTTCATTGATCTCTCTATTGCACGTCATTTAGCTGCTAATACAATGCATGCATAGTAGTCGATTGGTCGTCTTGTCACTCTGGTTTCAGTACCTAAACATGGATTCTTCACAATTTGATTTACTCACCTGACAAATAGCAGCTATCCAAATCCAGATAACTGCTACTCTTCAAGAGAGTAAGGCCTTCTCTGCTAATTTGAACATTTTAAAGCACATTCCTCATTCGACTAATGTTAATAATTCTGAAGTGTCCCACAATAGACAATATCGTCGTCGACAGGTGATCAAAAATATTTTCAACACGATCGTAGGAATATGGAACAGGGTCGTGAACGAGAACGAGGCCATGGTCGTCATTGTACTCAATCTCTTCCTCATCATAAGGAGCATTTTTCTAGTGACATTAAGTCAGATACTCATACTTTCGATGGTTGCTTAGATTATGAAATTTCACCCATCTTATCACCTCGTCATAAATCTATCAGTGAGGCTTCCCCATCTAACGTTCCTTCCACTTGGGAAACTAAGTGTAAAGGTCATGATTTCCCAAGACCTTCTTCGTCGTATCGAAGGAGTAATGAAAATCGTTCTTTCGTCTTATCGACGCCACCCCCTCCTGTCAAGTTCCTTCTCGGACCTCCCCCATTTAATGCTCATCCTCTGTTGGAAAATAAGGGTAAATTTTTTGAATTCCAAGGACTTTTTCTCACTTGCTATGCGTCAGTTGTAAGGACTTTGACCGCATCTCTTCCAAATATTCTAACCGAGCCTTAACCATAGAAGAACGAAAGAATGTAATAGATGAGCCGTTAAAAGATCTAGTCCATTAACCTAAACTTGAAGATTTTGATGACTTGGATGATAATAAGGACACCTCATTAAGCAGTATCCGGACTTTTCTTATGACTCTAGGTGTTGTACATCTTGTTCTCGATACCTCTCAGTCAAATGTTGTGTGTCGTACCTTTATCCAACCCAAAGGTCTTGATGAGTTGCGAAATCCTGCTTGGAATTTGATTCTCCCAACTGTTCAAATTGTATATAACAGTTCTATGAATTGCTCTATATGTCTAAGTCATTTTGAAGTTGTTCCTGATTATAAGTCTAGAAGACCGGTAGACCTTATTTCCATGTCCCCACATGCTAGTGTGTCGATGTTAGCTGAAGCATTTGTACATTATTTCCATGACTTGTATATTGAGATCAATAAACAACATAACGTAAGTAATGCATTATATAAATTTCAAGTTGATTCTCATAAACGATATTTTGAATTTAATATTGAGGATTATGTTGTATTGCAAGCTTGTAGTGCTGGTCCTTTAAAAATTTTAAAGTATGTTGGTTCAAATGCACATGCCATTGCTCTTTCATCACATTTTGGTTATAAAATTGATGTTATTTTAGATAAACGTCTTGTATTGACCAATGATAGCAAGATTCAATATTTTATTGTTTGTTGAGTAGATCGACGTGCTTCTTATGCTCCTCATTATGTACAATCATGTGAAAATTTTGAAGATAAGGTGCATAAGTATTGATTATTTGGAGTCCAATATCAGTACTTAGTTAAAAGGAAAGACCGCCCCCTTGGCCATATCATATTCTTGGGAATAAGCCACAGTTTTCAGTACTATCAATCATGGAATTTCGATACTTGATTCGTTAGAAAGATCGTCCTCCTTGGCTTGACTTGAAGCATTTCGAGTTTCAAATTGACTGCAGGCTACAGTGATCTATCAACTCGACAAGGAGAGTTGATGAGGACATCATCTATTTTTTTTTTATTTCTATTTATTTCTAGTTAGACTTTATTTTAGTTTTGGATTCTTATTTATATAATTGGGCTTGTATCGGCCCAATCTCGTTCTAGTTAGAGTTTTCTCTTTAGTATTTAAATCTAATTTTCTATGTAACTTCATTAGTTTTGATGAATATAAATTATTAAGATTGGTTGTGGCGTCTCCTTCCTCTCCCTTCCCCTTTCCTCCTAAATTTCTGCTTCTTCTCCGATTTCTCCCTCCCTTCTCTCTGGTTCTCCCTCCCTTTCTTACTATCCTCTTCTTTGTCCTGCATCACTAAGCCAAATGAACCAACAAGAACTTGATACCAGCAATGGAAGCAACTATAAACAAGACAAAACAAACCCAGTTCACCTATGTTTTTATAGCCAGTAAAGTATATTGATAGCCAGAATAAAACCCAGTCAAATTTTACGACATGAATCCCAATACACACTTTTCTGTACTTGAACTAGAATGTGAATTGACATGTGACACATCGTGCTTCTGGATTTGAAAGTATAGGAGTATTTACCTCGCCACTTGTCATTTCCTCAATAGTCCAGTAAACCAGTATAAACAACATCATAAAGCAAACTCCCCTGCAACGATATGAAGATCATCTATCAAAGAAGACAAGAAACAATGCCCAACATGAATAGAAAAAATCAGCCTCAGCTATGTCACCTTGGAACCTATTTGAACTGGAAATTCTGGTATGGCCAATGAATCCCAAGGAATATCACCTTCACTTTTCGAGGCTTAGCCTTAGAATACTCAAAGAAACAGAACAAATTCTTCATCCTTTATTTATTTAATAGAAATTTACAAATTTTTATATCCAAATTCATAACTAAGTATTAAAATACACAGTGTACGACTCATCCCTCAAACTTAGTAATGGAGCCAGAAGAAAATTCCTTTTCGCCCCTTTTGCCACAAAGCTAATAGGATGATATTTGCTTATTCCATCTTTCAGCATAAAGCTCGTAGCCTGTTTAAATCCAGCATCCGAGAAATCAGAACTACAGTTAAGCTTGACACTTGCACCAGAACCATAATCCACGCCACTATAAATATAACAGCCCTGCTGTTTTTCAGACTGCAAGGAAACTGTTCCATCTTTTCCATCCAGTCCAGCTACCAAATGGAAACCGCATGATTGTTTTCCATCATATGATGAGATATCTGAAACTTCAAGATCTTCACCATCCCCACGATGCAACATAAGCATGCCTGGAAAATCAAACGGTTCTAGCATGACTAATTTTCCCAGAGCATCTTTTGCTACATAAAGATTTTCATTTACAGTATCCTTCAAGATGACTCTAAATGTACCACGAACGGCAGAATCAGTTCCAGATTCTGGAAACTTCTCCATTTTTATTCGTTGATCAGCATGTGAAAGGACAAATGTTGTGTACCCCGATTCTTGAGCAAGAGTAATCAAATGAGAACTGTAATCAGCGGGTACCGGACTTATAGAATCCAAAAAAGTAGGCGACTCTGTTTTAATGTCCCAGTCACCAGTAGATAGTCCAGCAAGAAGGTAAGGACCGTACAGAAACGCCTGAAGAGAAGAATATTCTGGACGGTCATCTGAAAATGTCGTTTACAAGAGTTTAGCCTCAATGCAAGAAATGAATCTTTCTCCGTATATGAAATACCGACAAAAAACGAGAATATTATGATGATTATAGGAGCATCCTTGGAAGATACCTTTAATGGCCTCAGTTCTGAGACTCATAGGCAGCTTGAGAGTGATTTTGTCCCCCGAGATCCAACTTTTAGTAACCGACAGAAAATTGCCTGCATTAAGGTGCAATAAAGACGATGAACTCCTTTCTATTTGCTTATCAACTTGAAGTTAGTTTTATATCCATGTAAAGGAAAAAGCACAAATAAAGGTACTTATAATAAGAAAGATGAGGTTCATACCTGCTTCTGGCACGGACAAGTACTGATCATTTAAAAATGCCTTCGCACCAGTCGAATATGCCCATGAAGGTATCCTCAAATTTAGGGTAGATGGTGCTCCTTCTTCTTGCTGCATTGAGTAGACATTAAAAAAAATTAGTACAGGATACTATTGAATAACTGCAGCAAATACTGAGGAAAATAACTGAGTAATAATATCACTTCCAGAGAAAATGGAGCTGAAGATTTTCTGAATACACAGATATTGATATTAAGGTAAGTAATCATTAGAACATACTATTATATTCTCCAGTTGGGATGATGTTCCCTGTTACCAAAGTGCATAGAGTGCCGTGTGCTTGCCCAAGAAAATATATTATTACAGGTTTACGACTTATGAGACATTCTAAATTCCTTGATACTCAGGAAGTAAATAGCAGACGATTGATACCTCCTTTGGGAAAATTGTCAACGTTACTTGAAGGCGGTGATCCCACGAAACAACAGGCTCAACACTTAGAATCAACAAAATTTGTCCAGATTTCCAATCAAAGGAGCTAGGGATATACTGAATGATGTAAAGCCCTGGATCTTTTCCCTCTTCTTCAAAGTATATTGAATCTCCTAATTTTGAGAATGATTCAATTGCTACAGCAGAAAAGGACAGAAAGAATGTTAAAAAGTTATACAGCACATATTGGGACTTCCAAAAAAAAAAAAAAAAACTAAGGAAAAGACGAGGAAAGCAACTTATTAGAGTAATTAAATAACTCAAACCAGAAAACAACACTCAAGTAGACTTGAACAATACAAATTTTTTTACAGAAAATTCAGAATACAATTTTTTAAGAAGAAAAAAGAAGAAGATGAAATTGTTGACACTAAGGATAAATGCACACCGGTTCCGTAACAGCACCAAAAAGAATTAAACTTTGTTCCCCATCCATGGTAGCTTCGAGCCTTGGAGCCACCTGGGTGTAGTGGAAGCATGTAGATCATCACCCCGGGATCGTTTCCTCTTTGGATACCCAGAACACCATTTGTCAGGGCTCGTTCATAATAATCTGCGTATGCCATTTCTTTGGTCCATCTAAACAGGTGACGAGAAACCTATGTGATCAAAGTTCAAAGCGCCATGAGCTTCGAGCATTCACCATAATGATACCGTGGATCAAGAAAAAATCCTTATGAAAGTTTAAATTGGAGTCCCATATTTCTGAAGTCTGAATTAATCCAAAGTTAAAAATAAAAATAAAAGATTTACACACCTTCAGCATGTTATAGGTTGTACAAGATTCTTCATTTTCAGTTTCTAGAGTGCTTGCTAATCGCTTTGGATCTGACCTACAGATAATCGAGAAGGCGGCATAATAGATAGTAAGGAAAGAAGCAATTTAGCAGGCATAGTGAATTGTTCAATAACAATCAATCTTTGTACCAGAACTCGCCAACTGATGTTCCTCCCGTTGCATAGCTATGAGATGAATTGACAATATCCATGAAGAATGTTCCTATTTCCTGCAAGCCATTTAGCTTAAAAGATGAGTTCTAAAGATGATTTTTTTGCCCTGGTTATTGAACCTAAAACTTCAAGCAATAGCATACTCAGAACTCATCCATAACTTATTGTTATGGACCATAAGGCAAATAAAAATTGAATTCCCACAATGACACGACATGGGAAATCAAGAAATCAGGAAGGGAAACGACCATCTTTAAGCGAAAGCAGAACCAACATAAAGGTATGTTATTCAAAGTTTTAGTTACAATAACATATTTTACCCATGTCTAATGATATGTGTCTAACTCTTCGGGAAAGGATACCATTACCCAACATGTGATACAAGTCAGGTGCACTAAGACACTACTGAAATTAAGTATGTATAACAAAGAACTTAGATATGTCTTCTCGTATATCATTCAATTAGTATATAGTCTTTCTTGTAAATGCAATATTTTTCGTTTTCCCAACTTTTTTCATTTTATTGCTTCAATGAGAGGGTGTATTTACATAAGCTTTAAAGCTCAAGCCCAGGGCCAGAGAAAAATTATGTTGGGGTGGACTAATCATTATTATTTTTTCTCCAGATTTAGGGGTGGTCTGGAGCCTAGGGGAGCTACCCCTAGCTCCGCCCCTGCTTAAGCCAATTGATGCTTTTGTTTAACCCTCTCATCTAAAAGTTTATTCTGCAATAGAAAGAACAATTTTATTTATTTATATTTAACTTAAATACGACCCTCAAGTGCAGACTAGATACATCTTTTCATCAAAGACGTCAACGTGAAATTTTCATAATTGGATGGCTATGAGGCGAACTCATGACCTTTGGTTGCTCCAAAACAAAGTTGAATTACCTCATTTGAAAGTTTAATCAGTGAGGGAGGTAGAAATATATGTATATTTATATTTATATCTTCAACTGCTTCAACTCCATCTGGATAGACTAAATCTATCCAAATAAGCAGCCTGTGCAATTGCTTTGCCAGTCAAGTTTGATGGTTTAAAATCTCTTACGGAAAAGAGTTATGCCTTCATTTGTCATTCACCTGTTGATTACTTTAGACAAACGATATAAAAACATTACCTTATAAAGTGGGTCACCAGTAATTTCATACCGCAATTGAGATCCAATAACAATAGGAATATGTGTGTTGGAATGGAAACCAGATATATCATCCGCCTATAAGTAAAAAGTAATATAAATCAACATTAGAAAAAGGTATACAGAAATGCTCAATGATAATTTTAAGTTTCAAGAATTAAAAGAAGTATGGAAAACTAGACAACTCAATATCAGAACATAAGCACAAGACTCTTGAATGTGATCAAGAGCTACGGGACAAAGACTAGGCTTAGTTCTCTGTTTAGAATCTACTACCTCAGATTTTAAGGAATTAAATAATTACAGAAATAATTGCAACTGCATGACCCAGCAAGAAGCAACTTTCGATGAACAACTTGAATGCAGCTAAACTTTGACATTTCTTATATTCAACCTCGTTTATGAGTTTGTCAACCTTCGACGTTTTAAACTATTGTAAGTGAATCAATCACAATATGATTAACATATTCTTTTACCTGCATCCTTGTAGGACACTTCCACTAATATATTCGGAAAAAAAGCTTTCCATAAATTACTTAGAGCGGGTATCAGTGAATCATGAACTGTAGTTAACAAATTAGTTACTTTTACTCTGTACTCCACAAATTACCTCTTACACATTGTCCTATTTCCCTTCTCCTTATAGTAATTCCCCAAGCAATTGTAGATGAGAAGAAAAGATAATAATACAACAAGAAACATTTGGAACTTATTACTCAAAACTACCTTCAGTGCTAGCAATCCCAGAAAGCATGGTTTGTCAAACAGGTGAGCCAACAATAAATGCTTTTGATCTCCCTGTGGCATTCCCAAAAATGCAGATTTTTAAAAATACAGCATAACATGAAATATAGCAATGCCATAACACATGAACTATTTTCTGGTTTATTATCTAAAGCATCAAAATTAAGAAGATAATATAGGTTTGACTTAAATATGTTTGTTGAATCAAGGACTGGGAGAACACAACAATGAACTCCAACACGAATTTGTTGTGAAAATTATCATTTCCTGGTTTATTCATATGTTAAAGTCCAAATATTCACAAGAAGCCTATGACAATTTTATATATCGGAAAACAGGCCAGGGAGAGTAAATGAGACATGCTGACCGTTAAGCTGTATAGCTGATACAGAACATCATTCATGCCACCTGTTTCTTCATTGAGTGATAACCAATGTCTTTCAATGGTATAGCATGATATTACGCTTTGCACGCGGTTGTAGAAGTAACTGGCCATCCATGTCGCCATATTCAAAGCTTGAACATTACCAGCAAACATATACTGATCCAAAAGACCTGCCAATATCTGCAAAGTTTTGACAAATTATATTAGTAGCCATTCTTAGCAATAAATTGAATGCTAATAGCATCTTTTACCTTGTGAATTGTATAATATGGTGCCCAGACTTTTTGTAGAGTCTCAAAACGGTCAAACTGTTCTGATGGAAATGCCGAAAGATACCCTGTTCCTATCTTCCTCTGGCAGTCGGATAGAATAGAAACCACCGAAGACATTTTTTCTCTGAGATTATCATTATGTGTGCTAGCCCACATTTTGGCAGATGCACTCATGTAATGCCCTTCATTAAGTCAGATACAACAGTTGTCAATTACTCATTACAGCATCCCCAAGGAAATGGTATGCATAATCTTAATATAATTCACTTTTAAATCACTATGAAGTAACTGAAATCCAATCTAGTACAAGATGGAATGAAAAAAAATATTTTATCTTTCTAACATTAGCAGATGATAATGATAACAAGTCATCTCCAACATTGGTTTCTTGTTATAAGTTCAGCATATCAACAACAATCTCAGTTACCTGAGATGCATATAACAAACAAGAATGGAACAATTCATCGGTAAGTACAATTTCAAATCACTAGAAATCAAATAAGACATGCAGCAAATTATACTAACCCACAAAATGACCCCGAAGCTCAACATCTGGAGCCTCCCAACCCCCATATGGCTCACCGAGAGTATCCAAACCAGAGGTTTTCCTAAAATTCCATACCAATCTATCAACGTCCAACATCAAAAGATACTTCAGATTAGTCTGCTGTGCCTGACCATACACCGAATCAAGGTCCAATCTCACATCATTCAATGACACTTCCTTGAGAAAACTACCACCAATCCCTCTAGTCCCATCAGATATCTTCATTTTTCTGTACATCATATTCCAACTAAACTCATCCTCCTCTCTCAACACCTTCCTAGGAATCAATTTGGACCAGGCATAATCATCACTAGGAATCAAATGAAAATGGGCAAGATTTTCTTCTTTCCAAGATTCATTCTTTGAGTATAACATTTCATATCGAAACGTGTGTGATGAAATTGAAACACCACCATTAGTACATACCTTACTACTCAAAACACACATAAACAGCAAAAACAACAAAAGGGCCAATTCTAAAACCTTGAATAACACAAAAGACTTCATATCTCCCCTCAAAAATAGCAACAAAATCAAGAAAAGCTAGAAAATTCTAATTAAAAACAGAATATAACTGTTATTCTTTCTGAAGGTAAATGGGGGAAAAATAGATCGATTTTTTTGAAGTTCAAGAACAAAACAACACTAAATTCTCCATCTATATTCACCCAAAATTAACACCGTTGAAAATTGAGGCTGCTGGATACTTATCATAAAATATTTATTAATTAACTGTAGCACTGAAACCCAGTAAATATTTTTAAGTGACTAGGATGAAAACAAGCCATATATAGCCAACGAGTTCAAGAAAAATGAGATATTTATGTGTGTGTACACGTGTGAATATATGGTGGGTGTAGAGAGTGATCGGGAGAGAACTCATTTGTTTTTGGGGCAACTATTAACGGGGGGCACAGTTAAATTCCCTGTGCATCCCGCTGTAAACTCCCCGTGTTGATGGGGGAATTACTCATTCAGGTACAAAAAAAATATGGATAATTGGCACGAAACGCCTTTACCTTTTATGTCTATTTTGGAAAAAGTTTCGTTCTTTTATTTTTTGACATTTTTACTCCTACCTTTCACCTTTTTTGACGCTGAACGTCATTTTCACTAATTTTGGACGATTTTACCCTTCATTCAAATAAAACAAAAGAAAAAAAAGGAAACAACAAATAACTAATTGCAACCACAGTTCCCAATTTTTAAAAAGTTACAAATGACATCCGGTTTCTATTCCTTCTTCTTCAAGTGTGTGAAAAACACCATTTGACCCCAAAATTTGGCAAATGAGTGCTGTAATTTCTAAAATTGAACAATTACCTAGTGTTTTTGGGGCCTGAATTTGAGTTTCCCTAGGTTGATTCATATGTTGGGACACATTAAGCTCACGAATTGATGGAGAATTATCCTCCTCGCACGGCCACACATTCCGTAAGGTCAAATTCAAAATTGTTGCATTTGGCTGATGAATTGAAATAATTAAATCCATATCCAGCGTTGTTTGACCTTCAATTGCAGGTTGATTGATGCAATTTGTAGATTGGAGTCGTGGAGAGATGCCAATTGAAAGGAGATAGGATCGGCTTCTATGCGTGTTCACCTTTTCTGGACAAAGAGCCATTTCAACTCCGAACTAGGGAAAACCCATATGCTCAGTAGATGCGCCATAATGAGTAGTGTCCAGTGATGGTGGTCGGCGATCATGGGTCCCACCACTATCGCCAGAAAATGGTTTTGTCAGCTGCGAGTTCGCTGACTCGGAAATTGGTTGTAGATCTCGACTTTTTGGGTTGTTTGCTGTAATTGGAACATGTATGGATGTGCCTTGGAAGCTTGAGCAACTTGTGGGTTGTATGGAATATAGGCGTCCATGGATTTGGCTGAATTTGCAATAATACCGTGCGTGAGAGCGATTTTTGGGCAAAATTTAGCTCGATTTTATTGGAATTTGGAGCTGAAATTTGCATGGGGATGTTAGGGTTGATGAGGAGATGGTGATGGTGTTAAAATCCAGTGGCCTTGGTGGCCGAAAATTGGGTTCCATGGGCGTTGGCACCTATGTTGAAAATTTTGTATATATTTGTAACTGATTTGTAATTTTTTAAAAATTGGGGACTGTGATTGCAATTAGTTATTTGTTGTTTCCTTTCTTTTCTTTTTGTTTTATTGAAATGGAGGGTAAAATTGTCCAAAATTGGTGAAAATGACGTTCAACGCCAAGAAAGGTAGAAGGTAGAGGCAAAAATGCTAAAAAATGAAAAGTATGAATGGTTTCCACAATAGACATAAAAGGTAGGGACGTTCTGTGCTAATTACCCAAAAAATATTTAACAAACTTTTTATAGAATAATACTTGACAAAAATTCATTGATTTTGGACTGAATATGAGCACAAACTGCACCATAGATTTCTGTAAATAATTTCCTGTATGTGAGAGCTTTTTAGAAACTTTTTGGGAGTTACACCCTCTTGTGGCAGTATTTTAAAATTAATTATATTCACTTGGAGCAATCTAGACTAATGTGATTTGATGCATAGGGCAATGAAAAATCACCACATTAATGCGTTAAATTACTAATCACCACATGTATGTAATGTAGGACAATTATGATAGTAAGAGACTGTAAATAGTATTACTATTTCATAAATACATAATATTTTAATGACATTAAATATCATCAATCTTTATTATTATCATACTTACATTCTTAATTCTTTTTATCGCATTCTTATTTTTAACAGGTTACTAATCAGAAAATTTTGTCCTTAATCATGATTTTCGTCCAAAAATATTGTTAACGTATTTTAAAATGAGAATGAAATATTTTCTCATATATATATTGTTAACTTATTTTAAAATGAGGATTAAATATTTACTCATATCTTTACAGTATTATTTGTTTTGCTTATTTAAAAATACAATGAACAAATAAATCTTTATATCCTGTCTTTAAAAAAAATTTGAAGATAAGCTATAATCAAGAATAATTTATGTTAATTTGAAAATAAGAATGCAATAAAAGATTTTTTCAAATGTAATAAATTTCGTGCAGTTAAATATAGTCTAATTATTAAAAATTATGGTGAAAATATAACCATCCATTAAAAAATTTGCTTATGACTAAATAAGTAAATTATAAAAAATGAAATAATATTACTTATAAATCAAACTTAAATAATTATATTACTTATTCTAAAATAAACTCTTTATTAAAATAAGTACTTTTTATTAAATAAAATAATAAAAGGGAAGTTAAAGTCTATCAATTTGTCAATATGATATGTCCAACCGAATTAATTTTGAGAAATATGCTACTTATATATAATGCGATGTTTATAACGATATCCAACTCCCTCACATAGAGGGGGACTGACTTTAGATAAATTATATTTTATTCAAAGTGGGCCCCCTCCACGTGAGGAAGGTAAATGCCACCATGGACACTTTGATGTATGTGTAGCATCATCCTAATTTTGAATAATTACATAGTATAATATCCTAAATTTGAGATATTTTATACCAAAAATATTTTATTTATGACATATTCAACCTGAAAATGACAATAAAAAAGTTGTTACAATGTAATCAATTACCTTTGAACTTTGCGACCACTAATTTCATAATTAATCGATTTTCTTGTTTAGCAATACGTGACTCGATTTGAAAGACTCTGAAGTGAACTAATTAAAGTTAGAGATGTCAAACAAAGCCTAGCGGCCTTCTTTGTATCTTAGACGGTGCTTGCCTCTACAAAGAAGACCGAGTCCATTTCAATTTACACCTCTAACCTACGTAATTAAAAGAGTCTTAACAGAATGGCCAACAAAAGTAGTTGCTTATCCAATAATTTAAAACCAATCACTTATAATTAAGTAAAACGACAACGAAATAACTTATCAATGCTTACATGAAAAAGATGTGATCATACTATTCATGTAGAGTGGCTTAGAACATTATGCCTGAAAGTTAAAGAACACATTGTAAGATTCATCTCTTAAGCGAAGTGATGGAGGCAAAAGAGAATTCCTCTTTGTCCATTTTGCCATAAATCTTATAGGATGATACTCATTGAATCCTTTCCTAAACTTGAAACTCGCTGCGCGTTTAAATCATGTATCTGATGATCCTGGATTGCAACCAAGCTCAATGCCTGTACCAGATTCATAGTGCACTCCACTGTAAATGAAGCAGCCTTTTTGATCCTCAGATTCCAAGGAAACGGATCCACTTTTCTTGTCCAGCCCGTGAATCAAGCGAAAAGTAGAAAAATCAGACTCTGAAGAATCTGCGTCTCAGAGAGTTTTATTAACTCCTTGATGCATAACAACCATGCCTGGAAGGTTGAATGGATCTAGCATGACTGAATTCCCAATAGCATGTTTTGGCTCTGCAATATTTTCACCATTAGCATGGTTTATGTTGAGTCGAAAAGTTGCATTGACTGCAGAATCAGTTCCTGCTGAGCGAAAGTTCTCCATTATGATTGAATGGTTGGAGTTTGAGACGACAAATGTTTCGATATTGAATTCTTGTGCAATGGATATTAAATGAAAATTGTATGTAGATGGAACCGGCCTAATCCAATCGGAAAAAGAAGCTGATGATCCTGTTTTAATGTCCCAATCACTATTGGAAAGACCAGCAAGAAGGTAGGGACCATATAATATTGCCTTAACAGAAGCGTATTCGGACCGGTCATCTGAAGTACGAGAAAACACGTCATCAAATAGATTCTCGATCACGAGATAGAAAATACATGTTTACCAGAAAACTTTCAGAGGATCGAGCTAAGAAGATGCCTGGAATAGCCTTTGTTCTGAGACCTATGGGCAGTTCTAAAGTAATTTTATCTCCACGTCTCCACTTTCTAGTGAGTGAAGAAATTGCTTGCACAAAATAATTATATAAGACATTTATGATGCTTTAGACTAAGGACAGAGTAAAATTTGGTTCATTTTCTGTATAATACTATTAAATACAGCGTATAAGATTAAGAAGAAGAGGATAAATTTCACCTGGAGTTACTATGGGAATATCATGACCATTTAATGATGTCTTTTGCACCACTAGATTATGTCCATTGGGGTATTCTGAAGTTCAAGGTAGATGTTCCACCTGCTGAATGCTGTAGAAAAAACGTACCATGTGATGATAAATAGCAAAAACATTAAAGATTTTCAGTATACTTGCTTAAAGATATTGATATTATTAAAGATAATAATATTGACTAATGTATAAGGGTTTATGCTACTCTATTTAATAAAGTTGACATTTTAAAATAGAATTCCAAGTCTTAATATAGTATTAGAGCCCATTAAACTCCAAAATGCAACATTCGATCCAACTAAGGCTAAAAAAATGAGCACGATAGATTTCAAAATTGATTTGCTCAAAATGAACCACCATCTTCAAAGGGCATGTTAGGAAATAAATTCCACGTTAAATAAAGATGAAGAGGCTTAGGCTACTCACGTTAAATTCCACCATCTTCGAGAAAATTAATGATCATAAATAATTTGATGAAGTCAGTTTAGTTGGTAATTGTCGATAGGAAATAAAAATCTTTCAAATATAAAATCAAGATATACTTGCATTAAAACTATAAAATGTTGAATATTGTAGAACCGGCAAAATTTTCACTAATCACCAATATAAAATTTCACTATATTAGAGATAAATTTATCTTAGGTATAGAGGTACCATAAAATCTTCAGGCGAAAACGGTGTTATACAACTATTTTAGACGCGATGAGCGACTTGATGATCTAATGGGGTCCACTAGTATTGATAAGATACAATTATATAGAAAATAAAAGATATATATATTGGCTTGAAATCAAAATTTAAATAGTTTGAACTCCAACAAATTAAGTTGTTATTGTCCTATTTTATTACCTAACAATGCCCATAAAGTTTAGAACAACTCAAATCCAATGTTTCTCCTACTCAGGATAAAAATTTCCTACCACTAATGTGATGTCGCCACATTTGCGATCAATTTCTTTTTCTTTTTTTTTTTTCAACAAAAGAAAAAAGGTTTGAACTGCTGACGTAGCATCATTTCTAGAAAAATGTCACTTTGCCCAAAAATGTTTAACACCGAGGGTGATCGACTCTCACAAAGCGCGCAGGTCCCACGTGAATTAAATAATGCCCGACCCCCGAAGTATGTGTTCAATCAACCATTATGTTCCCCTAACTCGATCCTCATTTCTATTCACAATAAATATTCGCTTATCCATCACTTATTTATATATCCTTATAATTTCAATAACTTATAATTTATCCAAACAAGCGCAAGTTTATCATTTATCTTATCATAACCATTTATTTAGTATTTTAGTTATTTTAGTACTCTAGTTATTTTATTGCAAGTGGAATAGACACAATATGGCCCCCGGAATTCTTCATTTTTGAACTACGAAGAAGAACCTGAAAATAGACCGAATTTATTAAAAATGAAGCCCTATTACTTATCTCAATCAATCAAGAAGAATATAACAGCTGTGAAAAAAGAACTTAGTTTCTTGTGAAGAAAAAATGTTTTCTTGTACAACAAAGTCTCCAAGAAAAAGAAATAATTTGTTGTCAATAAGTAAATAATAGCAATAAACACTAAAATTAACTAAGCATAATAAAAGGAACCCTTTACTGAATTCGGAAAATGACAAAAAACATAAACAAAATCACAATTATCAGTTCAAGAATGCATTGCCATCTCATATTCTCATGCATTAAGAACATATATGACAAAATATATGGGTTATCGTGTCCAATTCACAACACCAATTATGCTTATCGATGAGACTCGATTGATGGTATTGACATAAGTTAGACCAATTAAGAAAGCAATCTTAGGTGACCATTTAGAGTTGGTGTTTCCAGTTCGGAATACCAAACATGCTTTGTGACGTCGTGTTGCAAGTTGAATAACGAACGTGAAATTAGATAAAATACTGCCCCAAGCAGAAAAATCTGAAAATACACTAAAAATTATATTGTGCACATCTTTATTTTCACTGTTCTCAAACATTTTTTCAGTGAAAAATCATAGACAATTTCATGCAAATGTAACTAAAATGAATTCCTCAGATTATATGTATTGTGTTTGGTATGCAATACAAAACAGGTATGAACAAGTATATTGATAAAAAGAAGGGCCGAACAAATCCTGAAATACGATAATTTTATGAATATTTCAATATTACCACAAAAATAAATCATGAATCTTATCGTTGTTAAAAGCCTGGTCTAGCTATTCAGATACAACACCCACAGCAACAGAATTATACGGAACTTTAGAGTTTACTTAATATTTCTCAAAAACTTCAATAAGTTTGCACAAACTTGATCTCATAAATGCTCTTTGGTCTACTGCTGGAAAAAGAAATTGATCCAAGGGACTATCCTGCTATAGATTTTATACAGCAGCAGGGACCGTACTATCAATCGACTTCAACACTTGTTCACCCATCTCCTTGCATCCCACCAGATTCTGAAGAAATTGAGAGAAATATAACTATGTAGACGAAGGAAGATGACTAACGACACAGAGGTTTCCAAGCATGAACATACAATACAAGGGTAAAAATATTACTCAATCAAAAAGCTTCCCAAGTCTACTACTACTTTTTCTCGTCCGACAAAAAAATCCAGCAAAAGATTAATTGTATCCGTGACGAAAGAAAGAAATAATGAAAGAAAACTTAATCAATCACACAAAGTGTAGTTCATAATGAACATACCAAACCAGCCGAGTGTATGTCACCAGTGCGGAACCCTCTATTTAAAGTATCCAAAACAGCAGCCTCTATCCTCTGGGCAGCCTTCTCCTCTCCTAGGCCATACTTCAAAAGCATGGCAGCACTAAGCACTGTCGCCAACGGGTTTGCTTTGTCCTAAATTGTTAAAATATAAAGCACACCATCAAAAACTATGATTACTTCTGATTTTTCAAAAATACAAAAATTTGGTAAAATAACAGTACTGCAGAAATCCAACCTGCCCAGCTATATCAGGAGCCGAACCATGTATCGGTTCAAATAATCCAGGTCCCTAAACAATCAAACATTCAAACATGAATATATAAAACAAAATAGGAAATTTCTTTTCATTTGTATGAAGATTAATAATCCATTCATACCGATTCTCCTAGGCTAGCAGATGGAAGCATCCCTATACTTCCTGTGATCATAGAGGCTTCGTCCGATAGAATATCACCAAATATATTGTTTGTAACAATTGTGTCGAACTGCAATATCAGAAATTGGAGGTCTAATTAAGTTTAGGTTCATTCTCATGCCTTTAAGAAGCCCAAAACAGAGAAAACCATATACAAACTAAACCTGTTTTGGATTTCGAACAAGCTGCATGGCGGCATTGTCAACATACATATGTGAAAGTTCAACATCAGGATACTCAGAGGCTATCATTGAAACTCTTTTCCGCCATAGCATGGAGGCCTGGCCAGTACAGAAAAATAACGGAGCATGAAGAGTTTGTTACCATCAGCTCAATTGCCTTAAAAATCACGACCAACTCATTGACATAAATGTCCATGATGTGCCATCAAACTCCTGTATTTGAACCATATAAAACATACAAATAGGAAGAAATTGCTTTAAATAAATTTCATGATCTGGAATGAAGTTCAATGAATTCTTGACTGTATTTTTTAAGCAAGTCTGTCATTAACCAAAATAGTATATTTACTTCCAAAACAAATATGTTAAAGGCAACAGTATACAGCTCAAGATAATAATAATCATCAGTCTCAAAATAGTTTTGATCTTGAATTCCAACCAAGCAGTGCATGATGTCCTTTGTGTATAACCAAAAAGAAAAGATCGAGAATTAACAGTTGGTATTTTGGCCTAAGCAACTGATATTCAGAAGTGCTTTTACACCACCTCTAGCTTCCAGTATCATCAATTTAATAGAAACTGAGATTTTGTTCAGAAACAGAAATATTTTGATAAAAGAAACTCAGGCAACTAACTTAATGATTTATATCTCATAAATATTTTAGACCTAAAATGCCGTACTTGAAAGATAGAGACAAGGAAACATGGGAAAAAATAAAGGTCCTAGTAAATTACCTCCAAAACATTTGCTTTATCAACAGAACAGAGTTTACCATGACGTTTCCGAGCAGTTTCAAATGCAACACGAGCAATGCGATCAATCTGATACAGTTATGTTTCACATAAATATTAAAGAGTGAAACATATGTAGTGCAGAATGTCAGTTTTAGAGTACTCCGAGATTTCATCAAAAGAAGAGAAACAGTTTTGCGTAGTACTTAATTCCAAGAAGACCAAGAATATAATAATCTTCAGAAAAAGAAAAAAGAAGAAAGAGACTGTCCAGTTCTTGTTTCAACAGTCAGGAAAATGGCCAGGCTGCTTGGAATAAATGCAAGGAAATTGAATATTAGTATGTTATAAAGGAATTCAGCAGTAGGACAAAGTTGAATGGAGTAATACCTCGTGGGCTGCATATACCTCAGTGTTAAACCCAAGTTCCTCACCGTTTTCATTTGTGCTGAAACCCCTTGGTTTGCCAAAATAAATACCTAGCGGGAGAGACATGATATTATTAGGAAAAGAATTCTAAAAACTTAAAAGTAAAGACTACGTATTGAAATTTAGAAAATATACGATATTAGAAATACCACACTAACCTCCTGTGAGTTCCCTCACAACCATCAGGTCCACACCTTCAGCAACTTCTTTTTTTAAAGTTGAAGCATCCACTAACTAATACAATTGGAAAAGCAGGTTATCGAAATCAAGATTTAGCACCCACATTCTAGAATAAAGCGAGAAGTTCTCATGTAATAAGCATTTATTTTTTTCTCTTACAATAAGTAATACTTAAATGATGTGACCAAATAATTTTCACTGGACATCCAGACACTGCTTAAACAAGGTTAACTATTCAATCATATGCTATAACAAGCACAAATTGACTGAGAGAACAAAATAAATCAGATATGAAATATTTAGTCCTTCATTCCATAGTTCCAGTTTCATATTTTTGGTTAACCAGAGTTTTTCCCCATTTACTTACATGAAAATTGAAATTGATTTTATCAAGAGTCTATACTTTATAACTAATTCAGATGATGTAATATGACTACACCCACAAGAAATAATTAAAGAAAACAGAAAAAGCTTTTTGCTCTTTGAGGGACCAGACTTCCAAAACAACTAAGTTGGTGAAAAATTTATCTCTTACACATTATTTTAGATTCACAATTAAATAGTTTTGAAGTCCTAACGTTGGCATACCGACTTTTTAAAAAAATAGGAAACTCAGCAAAGGAATATAAACAGTCCCACATCTCTCAATTCGTATCAACCCTCTCAAGGCTCATTCAAATGAATTTAAAACAAACAGTTGTTGGATTCAAGAAAGGTCTGATCTGCCGCACAACAAATATGCTCCAAAACCTTAAGTTTGCAAGAAAAGTCAACCGTAACATTTAATTAGAGACTGAAGGGAAGGTTTATTTTCAAATATGATACTAAGATGCCATAGTTTCTAAATGAATCACGGGCTCGCTCAAAGAGACCCAAGGCTAACACTCCACTGATGAGTAACAATTCATACATGCACGATGAACCAAACATTCGTTCTTAAAACTATAAATTTTCAAATTGAAAGACGCTAAATAACAACCCAACATAAATCTTTTACCTGGGGTAAAACAGTGGCTGGCCTCAAGTTAGCAAACACCTTAAGACCTTCCCGAAGCTGAAGCAACCCTGTTTCGGGCTTCAAATGCTTCTCATTTTTATCCCATTTATACCTTCTCATCAAATCCACAAAGTAAAAAATAATAAATAAATAAATAAAAATACAAGAAACATATAATAGAACAGAAAGTTAAGTTCACGTAAGATCTTGATAGTTTATGTTATTTATACCCTCCGATGGCTCCAAGAAGAACGGCATCAGATTGCTCTGCAGACAAAAGGGTCTCTTCTGGCAATGGCACTCCAGTCAAATCCAAGGCGGCGCCACCCATAGGCATTTCGTTGAACTTAAACTTAATCCCTGAGATCCATATCATAATACCAGTTATGTAAATATATTGTTTGTGTGTGTGTTGAGAGAGAGAGAGAGAGAGAGAGAGGGAGGGAGAGAGAGTCTTTTACTTTTTTTATTTAAATTCTTACCTTCAAGAGAGGCGATAAGCTGCAGAGCGTTCTTGGCGACGGAGATGACTTCAGGGCCGATGCCATCGCCTGGAAGGAGAGTGATGGAGTAGCTTTTGGATGTTGGAGAGGCAGAGCAACGGATTGTATTGAATTTAGGAGCATAATTCGTGGAGGACTTCGTAGGGAATACGGGTTTGAAATTGAATTGGAGAGAAGCGGCCATTGTCAGTCACATAGAGCAGAGCACGTCAAGTCTGTCGAGATTGAGGGTAATGAACTAACACGAGGTGAATCAAATTTGTTTTTAATGTAATTATAAACGAACTTTGACAGCTCCCAATTAACCTCAAAACACATCCCTAGCTGAGCCCCAATATTCAGTAGCAGCAAAAATCCAATATGTTGGGTGTCGAGCTCACTTTTGGAGTGCAATATAATTACTAGAATTCTTCCTCCACTAACAATAAGAATATTAGAGTGGAATGTATGGTATAATTAAATAGATCTTAGCTTCCTCTTTTTTTCTTCCTTGGACATTGTCCACTACTATCTAGTCCTTCCTACCAAATGGAACAGAAATGCATTTGTGTCTTGATACATCGAAGAAGATAAATGCAGAAAACTGAAGACAAAATTTGTGAAGGTGTAATCAAAATAATTACCATTTAGTAAAATTGTGATTTTTATTAACTAACGAAAAACTGTTAAAAAGGGAAACAGATCCCATACCCCACACCCAAGCTTAGACCAGAACCGACCAACGGAAACTCACCGGAGACGGGTAGAAGACTGCGACGGGCGATGCAGGCCGGTGGCAGTTGAAGGCAGAGCGGCGGCGGCCCAAAGGGGAGAAGAAGCCTATTTACAATGTATTGAATGGAGACTTTTAAAAACTTTTGGAAATTTAAAAAGTTTCTGTGTATTGAATTCAGATTTTTAAACTCTTTAAAAGTTTGAGTGTATTTAATAGAGACTTTTATAAATTTTTAAAAAATCTTTATAAGTTATGGGGTATTTAATTGAAATTTTTTAGGGATCTCTACAGGTTTTGAGATATTTAATTGAGAATGACTTACAGAGCATGTTAATTGGACAAAAAAATGAAAAAGTTGACCGTTAGACTTCATGTGCAGTCCATATTTTTTGACCTCATGTTTTTGATGTGGGCCCTAGAATTGATCATAACGATCATATTTTTTCTATTAATTTCCTTCAAAAAATGGCTCAAACAGGGGCTTAGGGAATTTCTAATTTATTGGACTTTGGAAGACTTTTTGGTAGAAAATATAAATAGCAATCTCAAAAGAAAATCTCATCTCCATCGAGAGATTAGTGGATTGGAGGGATCAGCACATGATTCTAAAATGTTGAGTGATGCTTTGACAAGGAGAAATGGACTTAAAGTGCCACAAGGTACTACTTTATTATTTCCTTTTTTTAAAAAAAAAATCTTATTGTATCATAATTACTTGTTAATTTTACAAGTATTTTATGTCCTGATAAATATTTGTTGGGAGACTATGGATTTCCAAATTGACTTCAATTTTTAACTCTTTTTCGAGGTGTTCATTATCATCTTCAAGATTTTACTGGTCAAGGTCGTGACTTTGAAAATATAAAAGAGTTGTTTAATTTTCGTCATGCTTCCTTGAAGAACGTAGTTGAGAGGATATTTGGTATATTTAAATTAAAATTCACAATTTTCAAAACAGCTCCTCCATTTCCATATCGTACACAAGCTGTCGGTCTCACTTTCACTCCCACTTGAGTCAGAGCTTGATGATCCCGATTTTGACTCAGATCCAGATACGTCTGAGTCAGAACTAGAACTACCCGACTCGTCTGACTCAGAGAGGGGTTTCTGTTGTTGCATAATGAGTCGTGGCATATTTTTGAGGTATTCACGCAAGTTTTCTGTGATTCCACCAAGACCGATGGATGTAAAGAAGTTGATAGCGAACCTTGTGTTTTTTGGATTGTCCTTAGGAAAAATAGAATCGAACGAGTCTTGCACAGTAGGATCGCTAAGACGCTCATTCAGTAATCGGATCCCAAGGTGCTCAGACAATTCCTACAACAGAAAGCATTCGAGTTTAGCAACTTATTAATATGAGCATCAGTAAAAAGAAGCCTAAAACCAAAACAACACAAAGTTGAATACATCAAACATGCACCAAAAAATAAGTGATATCCAGTAAATGCTCTATTACGATACGATCCACCAAATAGTCTATGCTTAAAAAAAAAAAATGTAAGCGCCACTTTGAACTTGAAGTATCTTTTTCTTTATGTCTACTTTCTTCCCCCACCCCCCACCCCCCCACCACTACACCTATTTGGTGAAAAATGATACTTTTTTGGTGGTAACTCTTACATTGTTGTCAACATAAGTAACTTTATTTCCAAACTTGACCAATAAACATAAATATCAGAAGCCTACTCAATGAGTGTAGTAGTAAGAATTATAGTGGACAGCATTAAAAATGGAATACAGTAGATAACTTGAATTGGAAGACAGATTCTTAATAAATTAAGAAAACGCTAATCAATACCTGGAAGAGAATTTTAATAAAAATACGGGAAGATGAGGTTGTATCTTCTTCAGTTAGCCGTATATAGGCCAAAACATGCCAAGGCAATGCATCCGTGCCAAGTAAATGCGCAAAAAACTTTGCCACGTTCCATAGTTTATTAGTCTCCAATCAGTGGATCATGGAATACTGCTGAACAAAACACTTCTCAAAATTCTCCTGATGAACTTTGTTGATCATACAAAAGCGCTGCCCCAGAAGTCCATAGTAGCGAAGGTAAGTCCTCTCCTGACTGCAACACTCCAACAACATAATGCACAATTCCATCTGTACAGATTAAAAGCAAGCCCAAGCAGAGTTATTCAGCAACTGCCCGATGTAATGTCACAAATTAATTGGCCACTCAGAAAACGATTCCACAAATACTAAAAAAATTAAGAAAATTAATATCACCATGGCAGATTTTATACTTGAAGAAAAGAAGAAAACCAGAGAAATATTTTAGACTGTATTCTTCCATTCGACAGCCACGAGAATTTAAGATACACTAGAGAAGAGCTGACATCCAAGATTAGTTATTCTAATGCTGTGAACAAACATCCGTAAAATAAATTGACCACAATGCATTGTTTTGAAAAAAAAAAATCTTACAAGGTAACACATATCATTTTGTGGTAATTTATGTCAATCCATATCCAACTAACCTAAACCTGGACCCATCATCCATGCAAGCTAATAGAGTAACCTGGATTAAAACAAGAAACACTGGTTCACTGACAAACCTTTTCTTTTCCTTCTTTACATCATACAAAATAATAATAGAAAGAGATAAATAACAGAGACAACCCCTGATGTATCCAACCATCACTGAAACACCGACTCTTACAAAAAATTACAAGAACCTCTCCTCTAGGCAGAAATCCATATAACCCTCCTATTTTACCCGTGTCTTCATATTAAACTTGGAACAATATTTTTTCTTAATTTTAATTCAGCTAAAAAAATTGACTTTCAGCTCAAAGAAAGTTCACATTTTTAATGCAAAAAGGGTAACAATTCAATAATATTTTTGAGAGAAAAATTTTTTTATTTAAAATGAAAAGGAACAAATTAATAAAAATGTTGACTAAAAAAAAAAGAGAAAAGAAAAATAAATCCAAATTTCGAACCTTATTTAATGCTAATTTTATTATGTTTCAGGTATTACGATAAGGGAATTTTTAATTTTTAACTTTTAATTAATTAATTAATTATTTATTTATTTTTTCTTGAACTGATATTAGATATTTTATTATCATTTAACAAATCAGAATTGTATAAATACTAAAAAAGTTAAAATTAACGAACAAAAAAAAAAATTCGCATATAGTAAATAATCCAATTTGATTAATTTAAACAATATTTCTTCTAAAATGAGAAAAAACAGTGACAGGAATATAGCTTATATGAGTTTTATATTAATAATAAAAAGGAAAGACAAAATTTGTTTTTGAGTGAAAATGGAAGGATTTTGTTGTGAAAAAACAAATTTTGGGGGAGGTTTCTACAATTTTTGAAAAGACGTGGTTTCTTCTCTTTTCTGATAGTCAGACACCTCAAGTCTCTCATATTCAGTAAATCAATAGATAGCATCACTTTGAATAATAAAAATAATGATGTGAGATCATAATACCAACCTCCTGCCCAGGTTCTAGATTGATTTTTAGCAGTTTATGTCCTGCTTCCTCAAAATCAACACTGGACATAATTGTCAAGTAGACAGTTCTTCTAAGATTAACCAAATTTGTCTCTGTCTCATCCTTTATGTTCATCTGTTCTTCATCCTCTTCACCAGATTCATCTTCATCTTCATCTTTGGACTCTCCTTCTGAATCTGCTTCGTCCTCAGATTCTTCACCTAGTATTTGCTTCTTGAGTTCTTCATATTTCTTTTCATTTTCTAAGAACTGGGTATCCGGCTTGAAAACATCTAAATAGAGTAAGTGAGCACAAAATATGTAAGTTCCCCTCACACAAATCTGAAAGGTAGCAGCAGTTAATAAGAGCCAGTAATGTGAAAACGTACCTAAAGCAACCTCAGGATCTATCTCGTCTAAAAGGGAAACTTTGTGAGTTAATTGGTCTTCCTGCTCCACTAGATCCAATTCTGGACGAACAGCTTGGTATCCCTGATATGGTGCATTCACAAAGCAATACAATGTGTCAAATATCTAATATGAAATTATTCCAAGTAAATTAGAATAAAGATACTACAACTCCAAACTTCATCAATGTAAATGAATGCTCACCTGAAACTTTGCCTTCCGTAATGCAAAAAGGCCTTCAATTAAGAATTGAACCCTTTTATCTATTTCCCCTTCATGAAGAATTCCACGAAATCACTCAAAAATACCTATTAAAGAAAAAACCCAAAATGCGTCAAAAAGATAATACTAAAAGCTGAATAGAAATTATAAATGAATAAAGAATGTGCTAAAGCACAAGCACCATATTGCATAGAACAAAATGAAAAGGATAAGTACTCACCATGCAATCCCCGAGGGCTCAGGTCCTGAAGCATGGATCCACATTCCGTGACAAAGCCAACAGCTACTTCAACACTATCATCTGTAGGTTTCTCCAGCAGAGATGTGAGCAGCTCAAGAGCAATCAGCTCGTGAACCACTTGCTGGTTTACCAGGTGGGCAATAAATTTGACTGCAGCAAGTAGTTGTGGCTGCAAAAAGGTATCAACATCAAATAACAGATAATAAAACATTGCTAAAAGACTAGAAAACAAGTAATAAATTATAGCAAAAAGAAGCTAATGTACAAACTTTATCATTCCGCTTGTAAGCCCTCTGATACTGCAAAGTAATTCTCCTCAATAAAAGGTCACCAACTTCAGGGAACTTGGTATTTACTACAGCTACCAAAGCAGCAAACACATCGGTGAAACCTGGTGAAGCCATTTGTGATTTCATACATGAACGACAAAACAGACCCCTCCCACGTATCAGATTCTCAGCAAACAACTCTGGAATAATATTTTTAATGTTGGTTGCATTCACTTTGTTCACCAACCCATTAATACTCTTTCTCAATGCGTCCCATGTCATTCTCTGATAATCGACACTGCTCTTATCATCAATTTCCTTCATCATTCTGGCCAACTTAAATGGCGGAATATGCACTCCTCCGCTCCTTCCCAAATTCATAGACATGCCCAGACCCGAATTAGTCTCAGGCTTTGCATCTTCCTGTTTCTTACTCAAAACTCTATTCTTCTCTTCACTCTCATCCCTCCCCTCTCTTCTCCTCCTGTCAATAACATCATCCTTGTTTCTTTCTCTTTCTCTATACCTTCTCTGCTCTTTCCTATTATCCACCC